AAACGGGGGCTATCCATCCACCTAGTGTGAAATAATAACCAGGGAATTTCTTCCTCATCCCTGGCTAAGACCTTCAAGAGTCACGGAATGGGAGTTTCATTTGCTAGGGAGTAGGAAGGAGGGGAAAGGAGCTCTGGTGGTATAGTGGTTAAGGCATTGGGCTGCTAACAAAAAGGTGGGTGGTTCAAACCCACCAGCTGCTCCGTGGAAGAAAGATGAGGCAGTCTGCCTTGGAAACCCAATGGGGGTCGCTATGAGTCAGAATCGACTAGATAGCAGTGGGCTTGCTTTGTGGTTTGAGGAAGAAAGAATAGGGTCACTTTGGAGGTGGGACACTGAGGAGGAGGGGACAGGACTATGAAAGGACTGACAGATGACGTTATCATCAGGTCAGAGCTAGTGATGCCCATGTTCTAACCAGCTGAGCTAACTTAGACTGTTCCTCAATAAATGTTACTCTAACTTAGCTAGTTGCAATGGAATCGACTCCAACTCCTGGAGACCCCTGTGTGTCAGTAGAACTGTGCTCCACAGGGTTTCCAATGGCTACTGTTTGGGGAGTAGATTGCCAGGACTTTCTTCCAAGGCACCTGGGTGGATTTGAGCCCCCAACCTTTTGGTTAGTTGCTGATGGTATTTGCACCACCCAGGGACTCTGACTCTGACAGTAAATATTGGGACTTGGGTAATTTTCTCCCCTGATGGTGTGCCCTTCCTGGGGTTTCCTTGGATAAGAACAGGGGAAATAGAGCAACAAATGGGCATGGATACCTTTTATTACTTTTATTATTCACCTGACAGCTCTTTGCTAATCTGTACCAAGTATTTCTCTCTTGAGATGAAAATGGGAAGGCCAGAGGCTATGAAACCACACATACAGATGGGCTTGAATCTTAGCACTTCTGTGATCCAACTTCAGATCTTTGTGAAAGTCCCCTAAACTCTCAAGACTCAGTTCCATGGTCTCTGTAAAATGGAGTTAATAATACTTAGCTCATCACGTTGTTGAGGACTTAATTAAAGAATACCAGAGTCGTGGTAGAAATATCCATCAAGATCTTGGCAGGAGAAGGGGGTAACTTGAAGAATGTTTAATAAAGGATTATTTACAAAGGTGTGGCAGGGTGCAGGGAAGCCAGGGGGCAGTGTATCCTCCCAGACCGACAGCAGAGGGGTTACCCTCTCTGAGGCAGATGGAGAGGGAGGATTCACAGGACCTGGGGCCAGAGAGGGCTGTGTGGAGGGGGTGACTTCATAGGTGCAGTGACCTTTAGTCAAGGGACAGAGCCAACAGCAGTGAGCCAGAATTTCCCCGCCTGTCCTCATTCGCTGCCCTCTTTCCTCCTGTCCATCACCTGCTGGGGCTCCCCACTGCTCAAACCCGACAAGAAGCCAGGGGCATGGGAACCCCTGGATTCAGTCCATAGGGGGCAGGCTCTAGGTATTCAGAGCAGGGTGCAGGAGGGTGATCTATAGAATAAACCCCAGAAGGAAATGGAAGATGGCCAGTACAGGAGGGCACAAGTCACTATATGTGACTTCGAGTCGACCTGGATTCGCTCCAGCCCAGGACTTGGAAACTTCCTAAACATGAGGATTGTTTTCCCATGAAGCATTAGGAAATCCCCGGGCATCCTGTAGGTGCCAATCAATGTTTGCTGAGCAGGGATCAGGTTCTGAAAAGTGCACATGATATTGACTGCTGGGGATGCTTAACATCTGAATGTAAAGTAATGTTAAAGCCCCTGTACTCTGAGATGACAATGTTATCAATGCAAATTATGCATCACAGAAGGAGATGGAATCAGAAAAGCAAAGTTTGTTATAGCTTTATTCATTCCTTTCATTTCCTACCTGAGTTTGCATCCAACCACGTCTTACTCTTCTGCTGGCCAAAAAACAGTGTAATTAACTAACCCATTGCCACTGAGTTGATTCCAATTCATAGTGACCCCATTGGGTTGCCAAGGCTGTACATCTTTATGGAAATACATTGCTTCATCTTCCTCCCACAGAGCAGCAGGTGGGTTTGAACAGCTGACCTTCTGGTTAGCAGCCAAATGCCGACCTTCTGGTTAGCAGCCAAATGCCTTACCCACTAAGTCACCAAACCAAAAACCAGACTCGCTGCCATCGAGTTGATTTCGACTCATAGCAACCCCTCCTTGGGTTTCCGAGGCGGTATCACTACAGAAGTAGATTGCCCAACCTTCCTTCTGAGGAGTGGCTGGTGGGTTTGAACCACCAGCCTTCTTGTTAACAGTCAAATGCCTTAGGCACTATGCCACCAGAGCTTCTACTAAGCCACCAGAGCTCCTTTAATTAACCATCAGCATTTACAAATAAACAACTGTGAGTTGCTTTGTGAATGAACGGCTAACCCCAGCCGTCCAACTGTCTCTGGTTGTCTAGGATTTTCTTTGAAGTTGGTTATGGGAGCTTTTAGCTTGTAGGGGAGGTGCTGGGTGGATGACACTGTGGTTGTTAGCATGCCTTCAAGTCACCGAACACACACACAGGCATAGTGACCCCATGCACAATGGAACGAAACGCTGTCCAGTCCTGCACGTTCCCTGTGATGGGTTGCAGTTTGGACGCTTGTGATCCACAAGGTTTTTGTTGGCTCGTTTCCAGAAGATCTCCAGGCCTTTCTTCCCAGTCCTTCTTATCCTGGAGGCTCCACTGAAATCTGTTCAGCATCCGAGGAACACGAAAGCCTTCAATGACAGACGGGTGGGGCCGTGCAGAGGTGCACTGGCCAGGAATCAAACCCTTGTTCGAAGGCGAAGGTTCTACCCCTGAACCAGCACTACATCTTCCGGATGGATAGAACCTATAACAGACCAGCCATAAATTCTAGGGCTTGGCATCAGGGGAAATACAACTCTGTTCACAGGCAGCACTCCAGTGGTGTGTGCCAGAACTTAGGACCTCTGCCCTTGCAATCAGACCCCACTAGGGCCAAATGTTACCCCCATGATGTGCTGGCTGGATGGTCACACGTGAACGTTCATCACAGCTGGGAGAAAAACGACGTCTGCCTGCTCCATCCCCTGGGAACTTACCTAACCTGTTCTGTAAAGCTCTTCAAAACGTTCCAACTGTAATGCATTTGAACCCTGAAGCACAGGCAGATGACTTCCGTTTCTGGTTAACTGTTGAAGAGAAGGGCAAAAGCTGACAAGTAATTAACTAGTGGGGCAAAGTGGTCAAGAAGTTCCAAATGGTGGTTCTCAAGTAGCTTACAACAGTCTACTCTCAAACAAACTAAACTCGCTGCCCTCAAGTTGATTCTGACTCCTAGCGACCCTTCCTTGGGTTTCCGAGGCAGTATCTCTACAGAAGCAGATTGCCCAGTCTTCCTTCCAAGGCATGGCTGATGGGTTTGAACCGCCAGCCTTCTGGTGAGCAGTCAAGTGCCTTAGGGACTACCCCATCAGAGCTCCTCTGCTCTGGGTTTTCCCAAATGATGCTCCCTACACTATGCTGCACCTGGGCCTGGACATCTGCTTTTAAAAGCTCCTCACCCCTGAGCTGTAAATGTGGAAGTTGTTATGTTGGCAAATGTCTTGTTGTGTGTGTTTTCACCACAATAAAATTAAAAACAAAAACCAAAACTCCTCATTGATGTTGGCATACAGCTTTGTTTTGGAACCAGGACTCCTGGAAGCAAGAGAACCAGAAAATATATTTAAGAAGGATTTGAGCATAAACATATCCTACTAAACCATCTATATGAGATCACAACATCAAGGATTGCTCTAAAGCAAAGATGAGAAGATAAAGGGGCAGGGAAACTAGAGGGCTGGGCACAGAACAACTAGAATGCAATTAAAGAGAAGGCTTATCTGTAAAGAGGGGAACTAAAAACTCCAGTTTTCGAAGTCCTTGGGTGGTTCAAATGGTTAACAGCCCAGTTCACCTCTGACACACGTGGGGTCGCCATGAGTTGGAGCCGACTCCATGGCAACTGCTTTTACCACTTGAACCAAGTCAAACGATTTCCTTTATTTACCAATGGGTACAGCTACATGACTGCTAGAAACCCATCTGAGAGCCCCCAAATGCACTGAAGTGCCCCTTGACAGCCCCCTAGAGCCCTTGAACACACCCAAGTGCCCCCCAGAGCCTGCAAACACGACTGAGCACCCTGAGAGCCCCCAGGGACCCAGAACACACCCAAGTGCCCCCTGAGGGCCCCCTAGAAACCCCAAGAGCCCCCAGACACACGCAAACACCGCTGAGAGCCCACAGAGCCCCAAAACACACCCAAGTGCTGCCGAGAGTCCTCTGAGAGGCCCCAGAGCCCACAAACACATCTGAGCCCCACAGAGCCCCCAAGCACACCCAAGTGCACACCAAGAGCCCCAAACACCTCCTGGGACCCCCCAGGACACCCCTAGAGCACTTGAGAGGAGCCCACCCCCACCCCTGAGAGCCCCTTGGCTGCACCTGTTTATTGTCTCCATGGCCCCCGCGGCCCCCCGCCCCCCCCCCCCCCCGTCGCCGTGTACATTTCCAGTAGGTACCAGTTCTACAGAGGTGAATTCTATCACGTGGGCTTTAAATCTAAGGTACAGGTGGTCCCAGCCGAAAGGAGGAACTTGGGGTGGGGGTTCACTGCCCAGCCTCACAGCAAGGCTGGGGTCAGAGAAACACCAATGATCAAAGAAGTGAGTGAGAAAGACGGCCTGAGTGGGAGGGAGCCAGAGGCCGGGGTCGGACTTCATCCTCAAGTTCCCATGTTTGATGTTTTCATTCCCAGTGTCTCAGGACAGAAAAATAGCTAAAGCACAGGTCAGGGCTGGGCTGGAGAAATGCCAGGAAGTGACAGTGAGCCTTGGATTCTGAGGGTGCTTCACCCTCCCAGGCTGGGGTGAGGGTGGGAGTAACAGATCAAATGGCCCGAAACTAGGAGTCTCCGAGTGTGTCAGTCCGTTGAACAGCCTGCTCCTTGTTCCCCCTGGTATTTGCCTGAAGTGAAAGGAGATGGAGCAGGGGCATTGGTGACTCAGTGGTAGAATTCTCGCCTTTTGTACGAGAGACCTGGGTTCGATTCCCGGCCAGTGCACCCCCACATCTGTTGGTGGAGGCTTGCGTGTTGCCGTGAGGCTGGACAGGTTTCAGCAGAGCTTCCAGATGAAGATGGACCAGGAAGACAGGCCTGGTGTCTACTTCTGAAAATCAGCCAATGAAAACTATGTTGCTGCTGTTGTAATTAGATGCCATCCAATTGGCTCCGACTTAACAGCGGCTCCATGTACAACACAATGAAACACTGCCTGCCTGGTCCTGCGCCAGCCGCACAATCCTTGCTCTATCTGAGCCCATGGTGATCAGACCGTGTTTCAGGGTTATTCATAAAGTTTTCCAGTAATATATCAGACAGTGTTTCACGGCTATTCATAAGGTTTTCACTGGCCAATTCTTTGAGAAGTGGACAGCCCCTTCCTTCTGAGTCTGTTGCACTCTGGAAGCTCCACTGAAGCATGTCACCCCTGGGTGACCCTGCTGGTATTTGAAATACTGGTGGCATAGCCTCCAGCCTCACAGCAACACTCAAGCCACCACAGTACAACACACTGACAGGTGAGTAGTGGAATAAAAACTCTATGGATCGCAAATGGTCAGATCCTATGGTGTGTGTGTGGGGTGCCCATGAGGGAGGGCTGTTACCATGGCAGCTCTAGCAACATGAGATGGGAGAGGCCCCTCTGTACATGAGACAGAAGGAAGATTTCTGGCAAGGATTTCCGATTGTGTCCGACTGCCATACTTTAGTATGCCTAAAGGCTGTGTGATGGGCACATACTCATCACCAAGGAGTTAAACAAACTGTTCTCTGGCAGAAGTCCCAGGTGAAGCCCAGCCCAGGTGATCCAGCCCTTCCACAGGCAGAGCCTTGCATGGCAAGCTGAGCTGCTGTCGGCACTTGGAGGGGGGACGCCCATAGGTGTTCTGTGTGTAGGTGGTGGATTAAGGCTCTGAGCCACAGGGCAGAACCCTGGCGGACCCTGGAGCCCTAGCCTGGGGCTGTGTGTGCTGCTCCCTGGTGTTCTTTTGCCGTTTTCCTGATTCGGAACATCAGCTGCGACTCTTCCACCTCCCAGCGTTACGGGGAAGTACAGAGGTGGCCTTGGAGGCGACCCACCGCACCCCTTCCTTCAGGATGTTTTCTTTCTGCCCAGTGCTGGCAGGGAGACCTAGGGCTGACTTCATCCCCCTGCTTTAGGTGGCCATGACTGGAAGTATGTTCCTACTGCACTCCGTGTGTACCCGGCGCCTGGGCTCAGGAACAATGCCAGGAAAATAACGCGTCCCTGCACAGGAGTCACACTGGAAAGCCACTGGCTGATGCAACACACACAGGCTGATGGTTCCAGTGACTAAGCGTGAGTCCTGAGGAGCCAAAAGGAGAAACCCTCCTTGTCACCTGGGATGGAGCGCTGGTGGCCCAGTGGTCAAGCACTGCTTGGCTGCTAACCAAAAGGTTGGCAATTCAAACCCACCAGCTACTCCGCGGTTGAAAGATGTGGCAGTCAGCTCCCTTAAAGATTACAGCCTTGGAAACCCTGTGGGGCAGTTCCATTCTGTCCTCTAGGGGCGCTGTGGATCGGAATCGACTCAAGGGCAGTCGGTTCGGTTTGGGTTTTGCTTCCTTAAAGACAGCCTTAGAAACCCTATGGGGCAGTTCCACTCTGTCCTATATAGTTGCTATGAATTGGTGCGGTGCAGTGGATTTCTTGGTATGGCTTTTCTAGCCATAGTCTTTGTAATTCCCACTGGATTACTGGGTGGGACCATGCAAATAAGGTGTGTAGAACTCTGAGGTTGGAGCTGGTTAGTTTTGTCACTCTGCCAGGCTTAAAATGAGCCCTCCTAGAGGCAGAGAGGAGCTGGTAGCGTAGTGGCTAAGACACTTGACTGCTAACCAGAAGGCTGGCAGTTCAAACCCACCAGCCACTCCTCGGAAGGAAGATGGGGCAATCTACTTCCGTAGTGATACTGCCTCGGAAACTCAAGGTGGGGTCACTATGAGTCCGGTCTGACTCAATGGCACATAACATAACAGAGGCAGAGAGGGGATCTCACTGCCATCAAGATAGAAGAACTGGAGGTGAAGTGGAGCACGTCCTTGGCCCGAGATCCCTTCACTGGAGCTCCTTGGCAGAGACACCTGGCAGAGAGAGATGCCCCGGCAGAGAGATGGTGGCAGTGAAACCGAGAGGCACGAGACAGAGCGGCAGGCTCACCTGGCCATGGAGGCAGAGGCCGGGCCTAGAGGCCAGGGGTCAGAGAGGAGTGTCTGAGGGCACAGCAGAGGGGAGACTGTCCTGATCGAAGAACTGCATCCTGAGCAGGTTCCCGAACCTGAATTGTGTCTGTTACTTCCCTAATAAACCCCATAATCGTGAGTATTGTCTGTGAGCTCTGTGTGGCCACTGCAACGCATTATCAAACTCAGCAGAGAAGTAGTGACTACTGTGAGAGGGACAGTTGGTGTCAAAGTTGGTAAAAAAGGGTGGAGGTTGGCGGAATGTCTGGCCTCATAGGAATCAGCCTTGGGCTGCTGAGGTTGATTCTGTCTTCCTCTTGTGAAGTTAGAGGAGGTCAGAAGATGCCGCCTCCATGCCCTTTTTGCAATTGGAATCAACTCAACAATACTCATCAACAGGACGAGCCCTCATACAGCTGGATTAAAAGGGAAACAGCTTAGCAAATATGAATGAAACCACTGTCCCAGGGACCTCACTGACAAGAGGGAAAACATAAAACAGAAAGGAGCAAAAAGTGGGAAGAAGAAGAGAGGTCAGAGAGAAAAGCCAAAGTAGAGTTGATGAGAACCTCAAAAGGACAAGACAGGGTAACGGATGTCCTGATTTACTGACTGCATTTCAACTCATTGAGTATCATGAGAACAAGATGCTTATCAGACCTGATCCAAAGTTTATCAGGGGCCATTGTTAAGATAACCATCCATGCCCATGTTCATTAAGTATTTCTTTCTGCTCAGGGTTTAATAGTTTTCAGGATGAACACAGACCACGTGTGAAGAAAACCAAACCAAACCCACTGTCATTGAGTTGATTACGACTCACAGTGCCCCTAGAAGACAGAGTAGAACAGCTCCATAGGGTTCCCAAGGTTGTCATCTTTATGGAAGCTGACTGCCTCATCTTTCTTCCTCCAAGTAGCTGGTGGGTTTGAGCTGCTGACCTTTCAGTTAACAGCTGAGCACTTAACTACTGCGCCACCAGGGTTCCTTACATGAGAAGAAGTGACCCCTTATCCTGTGACTGAGAAGACAGAAATTAACAACAGAACCTGGAAACACACAATGTCATGGACCTGAGCCAAGGCTGGTGCGAGTCCTGACTACTGTTTCAGGCTTTCCTTTTTTCTCTGTGTCATCTAAGGAGTTGAGATTCTTGGCAGGGACATTGGTTGAAGGGAAAGCATGATGAGCTATGGAGAATGCTACCAAGGTCTTGGCAATTGGACTCTGCTGTTTGTTCTCATTCCCTTACTGGTTCCAAAAGGTATCCCATGATTCCAGAAATAAAAGCCATCCTAAAGGACCAGGATTTTCAAGGAAGGAAATACAAAGGGCTTTGTATAAATGTAAAGCTAATGCAGAAGAGGGTTGTAGAATGCTTGCAACAGAAGCAGCATTATCAAAATCCACTTAGGTGGCTGCTTTGAAGAGACCCACATTGATTTGGGATTATAGGTTCCTGTGCATCTCCGCACAATAAAAAAGAAGAGGCCCTCATTGTGGGCATGTCTTGTCTAGATTATGTCATCCCCTTCTCTGGGATATTTCCTGGACTCATCCAGATACATGGCTGTCCTCTCTCTAAAGCCCATGGGCCTCGAGACCTCCCTTGAATGGGCACTGCTCTTCTCACTGCCCTTCCTCCACCATGACTTCTGCATCCAGACAGTGAGCAATCTGAGAGCAGGTGTCTTGTGTCATCGACCTCGGAATCTCCAGAGCCAAGAAATAAATCAATATCAAGACATGTCAGATACCAGAAGAACTAGATGGTGCCCAGCTACCAGTGCCAGCCACTTGGAAAGAGATCAAATTTGGAGATCCTACATAGATGAGAGGAAAAATGTGGAACAAAATTCAAAAACACAAAAATGACCGGAATTAGTGGTTCAATAGAGACTGGTGGAACCTCCAAGACTATGGCCCTGGGTTATCCTTCGGGCCTAGAAATGGACTTACTTCTGTGGATTTGCTCTCAGCCCAACAGCAGAAAGACCTACAAGCAGATCACTTACCCTAGGAAGATGCACCCCTTAGATCAGTCAACCATGAGACATTGAAAGGGCAGCATTTGCATGGAGGGAAAGCTGGACAGACAGGAATGCATCGGTAATAAGGGCACAGGGAAGAGGTAGAAATGGAGGAGATGGAAGGAGAGCTGCTTATTGTAGGGATTGTAATCGGGGCATGAAACCAAATGTGCTTGAACTGTTGAGAATGAAATGAATCTGCTTTGTAAATCTGCACCCAAATCACAATATAAAATTAAAAAAAAAAAAAAAAGCCATGTCAGATAAAGCATTTCTGTGCTACTTCCAGAGGTCTAACAGGCAAAGTCTGGATGTGAAAATATTCCAGTTGTTTTTGAGAACAACAGAATCATGTACGTGAAGCAGGAACTCTAACAGAAAATCCAGGGTGAACACACTGCTCATGCTGTTGTTGTCAGTTGACACTGAGTTGGCTTCAACTCATACAGAAACCTAAGGTGCAACAGAGGGAACATTGCCCGGTCCTGCACCACCTCCATGATCATTGGTACATTTGAGTCTGCTGTTGACACTATGTGTCGATTCATCTCATGGAGTGGACAGTATAAATTACGTGAAATGATTGTTGCTTTTAACACTTAGGAGAGGAAATGGAAGTTTTGCATAACATTCTGTGGGAGTGAGGAACTGAGGTGACAGAGGACAAGGACATGACTGGGGCAGGACTGTTATATGGCAACAGAAAACAGGGCACAGCACAGTTGAGCAGATGGCTCTTGCCTTGTTGTTGTAGGTGCCGTAGAG